TAACTGCTGAAGGTTCAGCGAGCTCAGATTGCACATAGTGTCCTTGATGCTTGCCTCTTGGTTTTTTCTTTGCCTTTTTCTGCCCTTTTGATGCAAATTTTGTTTATAGTTTGTCAGTCAGATTTTTCCTTTAAATGACACGAGGCAATCTCCATCCAGCCTGTGCTTCGTCTGGACCCCATCACACACCTTACGGGTATGGTAGCTCACCAGGCCCAGTTAACTAAGGTGGCACTGAATAAGTTCAGTGTCACCTTCAAAAAATGTCCCTTAGAAGTAGGTTTGGCTGCCTCTCACACCCCTGCACAGGGGAGGCATCTCAGGCTGATCACTGTCAAGGTCCCTGGACCTGTTCAGGTTGACCTAGGAGACCTGGCTATGTGCCTAAAGTGGCTCTCTTGATGTTGGATACAATTTCCATAGGATCTGGATACATAGTTTTCAAATTCTGCCACCCAGTGTGGATATGGAGCTACAAAACTCACATCTAGATCCAGCAGCCTAGTGTGGATCTGGGGCTGCAAAACCCACAAAACAAAACATGTATATGAATCCATGTCTGATAAATATCGCTTTGGATCCATGATAAGAGTCTGAATCCAGATTCTACAGTTAAACGTGAAGAACTGCCAAGCACAGTTGCCAAGAAGGGATCCTGTTACCTGGGATCCAGCCAGCATGAGGATCTGACATCTTTGACTATTGAGTCACTTGTTTACAGGCTCTTTACCACTAAGGTCCAACATTCACCCAGGTCGGTGGAGTCTGGTGCTACATTTCCAACACCATGATCTTTGCAGAACTGCTTGCCTCACTCTGTGGTGCTGGCACTAGGGTGCTGGGGGTGCTGCCACACTCCCGGCTTGAAGTAGTAATAACAAACACCAAATACATGGTTTCCATCATCAGCAGCCCCACTATAAAAATTATTGCAGCACCCTGGCCTCACTGATTCTGTGCCCAACAGAGTGGCGTAAAGAAGCAGATCAGTGTGGAGGTCTTGCAACACTGGAAAAAAGAAATGATCAGATCTGGAATGGTGGATCTCCACCCAGGTTTGAAGTTCTCTGACAGACATCTTGAGTCCGGATTGCTTGATCTCTTGATTATGAGTCTTATTCTAAGATCTAAAAGATTCTAATGAAAAGCAGGAGTTTTTGATCAGTCAAATCTTCTCTGTAGCTTGAAAGAAATCTTCCATCTGGGCATCTCCTAAGTGGATGGACCTGATTAACTCCTGAACTGTTAATGCAGATTATTTAAAAGAAGATGCCTTCATGATAGCTCAGATAGTTCCAGAGATACAAGCCTAATTATCTCCTTTAAGTTGCATTTTTACAGAACAGGTGATCTTGCCCACATCTCCATCTCAGCAGTCTAAAATGTCAGAGATTTGCATTTCTTTCATACTTTGCATACTCAGAGAACTTTGTCATTATTTATACCAGGGCAAAGCTTATTTACTAGTTCCTTGGAGAAATGGAGCTGATATGAGGAGCTAATCCATCATAGTACAAAGGTTGCCCATGTAATGTGCTATGTTTCACAATTATTGGGACCTGACAGGGCTTTGACTTACTGGACAAATGTAGCCTCCATGGTATGCCCTGACATAATCATCATTGCATCATATTGCATGATTGATACTGCAGCTATATGTGCTTTTAGCAAAAGTGTTTCTTCGTTAACTTTGTTTTGAGAGAGCAAGATCGATGGTTTCTATTCACTCTTGATCTGTCATCCAGAGCTGATACTTGTTTATCTAGAATGCCTCAGCTTACTTTCCTGGGGGATGAACTGCTTGCTACTTCCCACAAGTGAGAACATGCAGAGGACACTTGAAGAAGAAATGAAGATTATTTACTTGTACCCAGTTTTCTTCCAGATGAGCCTCTGCATATTTACATTCCCCACCCCATTTCCCCACTTCTTCAGAGTCTCACGTTAGGAATTCTTGAATTAGTGGGAGGAACTGAGGGGTGGTCAGGACCATTCCCCCTTTTATACCATCAGAACCTTCCAAGATGGAAGGGAGAGGGAGGGGCAAGTGGCCCCAGTGAACAATGCTTTCCAGAACGTTCTGGAAGCTCACATCACAGGCACCTTGATCCCACAAGTGTGACTATGTAAAGGCTCATCTCAAAGAACTCTGGTTATAGGTAAGTAACCTTCATTTCTTTCTTGATTTAAGAATATTGGAGCAGTAGGAGAGTTCAAAGTTGCCTTTTTTGTTTTGTTTTGTCATTGAGTAGAAATGAAACTTTTTTAAAGATCCAAAAGTGACTGCAAGGATTTGTTTGTCAGAAGAGTAAAGTTGGAATTATAAACTCAGAAATTAGTCATTTTCCATCTTGCTGTCAGTAGTGCAGGATGGTTCTCTATGGTCCATCAAACAACAGGCCTGGGTAGTGTCAACAGAGCTCATGCAAGGCAGGGTGCTATAGAAGCAGCTGGTCTGCCACGTTTTGAAACTGATGGCACTACATTTTATTTTTCAGCCTCAGATTGGGTGCAATTGCTAATCTGTCTGGTGTGTTTTCATCTTGTACAGGACTCTATAAAAGCATGTCTGTCTCCCTTTGGGATTCTTTTGCTTTTCAGGTAACACAATAGCAATTAAATTTGACAGTGAAGCTGTAATGAAATTGTATGCACTACTTCTTAATTTGAGATAGGCTTCAGTGCTTCATTATTTTATGCGAGTCAAGCAAAGAGATCTCATTTAATAAGGCTCCTATACATATTTAATATGACAGGGATGTGGAATCTACTCCTTTTTGTAGTAAGATATGTGGGCTCTAATTTCATAACATATATGATTAGTTGAATTGATATAAAACCGAATCATCTGTAAATACAATTATTTTAAATGTACTTACTTATTAAGGTGCTTAGAACTGTTCTTCATTATTTTAACTCATGAGAATCTTTTTCTCTGCTAACTTTTATTTTTCCATCATGGATTTTTCTGCACTACGTTTCTAATAAAAGTGAAATTAATACATCTCTAGGGGCTTTGTTAATCCTCCCTCGTCTCCTACCCCAAAACCAAAACAAAAAAATCCCTCCTTAAGTTTATAATTTTGTAGGCAAAAACATTTTAGTACATCAACGTATTCAATAATACTAGGATACCTTTTGTATCAAAATGCAGCTGTAAAGCATAGATTTAGTTAATATTTTGGATATTTTAATTTCTCAGCAATAGTGACAATTGGAAAAACAAGAAGTTCTTTGGGTCAGGGACCATATTTTTGATCTGTCTCTGTACGGCACTTAGCATAATGAGTCCTGATCCATGATCAAGGCTGCTAGGCATAACCGTAATGCAGATAATTATAAAATATCCAAAATATTTATAGAGCTTGGAAGATATTGAACATCAGACTAAAATAATTGTGAGGAAGGTCACATTTTGTGTCCCGTGGTGGTGTCCATTGTCAGAGGCATAGCCTATATTTCATATTGGAGTTCAGCTATTTGAAAAAGTATATTTCTTCAACAAAATTAGGGCCTGCTCCTGCTAACACTTACTAAAAGGAATATTGACCCACTGGTGCCTGATAGAATGTTTTTCAGAGTTTTCCATCTGGAAGCAGTTCTGTGTCTTCTAGATATTCTGGTTTGTTTCTGTTTTAAGGGACCTGTGAATGAGTATCAAGACCTGTGTTGCTAAGAAGTTCATATGATCCTGTTGCTTAATCTTCTTCATAGCAACTAATTATGATTATTTGGCCCCAAAAGTGGGCTAGGTGCCTGCTTCAAAGAATTTATACTGTAAATGAAAATGAAATAAATAAGGAGGACAAAACAAAGCAGTTGGGGGGGGGGGTTTCCTCGGGTACAGAAGTTACAGATACAAGGTAATGATGTGACAGAGGATTTTGACTTCTCATGGGGATTGTGCAGCAAGGGCAGCTGATGTTCCTGTTTTTATGCAGCTGTTCATAGTAACAAGGAAAAGAGGAAGAGGAGATACTGTGCCAGGATAAAAAGAACTAGCTCTGAACACAATGTTTTTCAAAACTTTGTATGTTACATCATCAGATCTTAAGGATTCAAAGCACTTCCTCAAAATAAGGTTCTCAGACAATATAAAAATATGATGACGTTAATTAATGAGAGTTGGAACTGGTGAGAGAAGTGGACTGTTGCTGTCCTTGGTTTTTATGGGAAATGAAATATACTCTTAACCATTGTATAACTAAAGGTACGTCTACACTTACCTGAGGGTCCGACGGCAGGCAATCGATGTTCTGGGATCGATTTATCACGTCTGGTTTAGACGGGATAAATCGATCCCGGATCGATCCCGGAAGTGCTCGCCATCGACACCGGTACTCCAGCTCGGCGAGAGGAGTACGCGGCATCGACGGGGGAGCCTTCCTGCCGCGTCTGGACCCGCGGTAAGTTCGGACTAAGGTACTTCGAATTCAGCTACGTTATTAACGTAGCTGAATTTGCGTACCTTAGTCCGAAGTGGGGGGGTAGTGTGGACCAGGCCTAAGGTGGGAAAGTGTGGGGTGAAGAAGTCATAAGGCAATTTAGATAATTCCCCCTATTTGAGAGTCAAGTTAAGCAGAAGGTGCCTGTCAGGAAAGATTTCAAAACATGTGCTTATAGCTATTTGCAGTTGACCCATGATATACACTACCAGTAATCAGGCATGTCTAAATAAGGACTGAAATGGATTCCTTGCTCCTCAGACTGTCAAGAAGTAGCGAAGGCTATGGAGGCAGTGGTTCAAGAGTAGCCTTTAGTGAACCCAACTAGCTTGTGCTTGAAGTGATGTTGAGTCTCTGAATGGATTTGTTTCCACCCTCCTCACCTGTTCTTTGAGGGAGGATCACAGTATGATGGGGCAAAGAGGGAATGAAGCACAGAGGGAGAAGTTAGGGGGGGTCCTAGAAGAGCTTTTGTCCCCCCCTCACAATGTACCTGTTCGCATTGTTGACCTCCTCAGTTGGTGTATACATAACTGTTGTTTGTGTATCTGACAGAGAAATGAAGGGGATCTTTTTCATCGACTATGGCACATAATGAATGAAATCCTGGACCTGAGAAGGCAGGTGCTTGTTGGCCATCTCACCCATGACCGGATGAAGGATGTAAAACGGCATATCACTGCTCGCCTGGATTGGGGCAATGAGTGAGTAAGAGTTAATAATAGAAGCAGTTATGGTAACCCAGTTATAATAAATGAATCACTGTGCCACAATTGTATGCTCATGGTAACGTGTTAAAATAAGGAACTGGTGTATGGCAGAAATGCTGAGTCTGATGTCAGCATTTTCTGAGGACTTTTCCCCTCCCATCAGTTCTCTTCTGTAAGAGGAGGTGGATTTGAACCAGCACATTTTACACTTTGAAAATAAATGATTCATAGCTTCACTTTATTTAAAAAAAAAAACACAAAACAAAAATAAAACAAAAAACCCAACAAATATTTGCTTCATGTTGGCACTTACCTAGCAATCCTAGAAATATAGGGCTAGCAGGGATCTTGAGGTGAGAGGTGACTGCCTTTTTAACACCTTATCAATACATGCAAGGCCATATCCTCAGATGGTACAAATCAACATATGCTGATTGATGGCAGCTGAGGTTTTGGTCCAAGATTTTTACTTTGATTCTGTCATGGATCAGTTTTTACCTGGGAAGCTTCAAGATATAATAAGAAACAAACAAAAATTATTAAAGAAAACCCATCAGATGCCTGCATTTTGCTTTTACCTGAATATTTATTTAGGAGCACTAAGTAAATCATATACGCTGTCACTGTTTTGATAGCAAACAAGTATTTTTCTGCCTTTGTATTTAGCTAAACTCATACCATATCAAAGGCTTTCACTTCACTGTTACTAACTGCATAACAACATCATGAATTCTAGAAATAAAAAATTAATAGCTTAAAGTTTTGATGTTGAATGTGGTTTTAACTTTTCCAGATACAGTTCATGCTGATCTTGACACTATCTTGCACAGTTTGAAAGGCCAGCAAGCTCATCTCTATTCCAGACACGCTGCACGTAGGAAAAATAAACACAATAGGCTACTCTCGACTCAATATTACTTTTGAAAACAGCAGCACAGATTAAAAGCACATTGGCGCTTGCATTGAAAATCAAGACTTACTTGATACCCTGTTCTTGTAGCTGGCAATGGGGCATAAGGCTTTTGTGACTCTTTTCTAGAGAGGTGCCAACTGTTGTCTCCTGGCTTGGGCCATGTTTGGCAGCTGAATAGTACAGATGCCAGGAAATGAAGTGTACTCCTAGAGTGATGACATCTGTATATGTATCTAGCTTTTGCCTCTAGCTTTGCAGCATGATTTTGAAAAGTTGAGATTGTGCAGGGGAGGGGAGAGGACAGACTGCACTGAGATTAACCTGCAGCTGACCTGTCATACATTACTCGTCCTTTGCTGTCTTAATTACAAGGACTTTCTAGCCTGGTTTTTTAGATGTGCTGAGCCACATGTACTCCTGTTAAAGTCAACAGGAGCCGTGACACCTCAGCACCTCTGAAAATCAGGCCACTAGTTTCTGAAGCGGTGTATCAATTTCCTCTATAAACTTCACTGGTCATTGGACAGCTTTTCTGCCATTATATTTGTTCTTTTTGTGAACCGTGAGGAATGAGTATGGTCTGACTTGTAATTATTAGGTGAGAACATAAAGCCTGATCCAAAACCCTTTGAAGTCAATGGGAGTTTTTCCAATGACTACAGTGGATTAAGATCAGATTCATACTTTGGAGAATTTGAAAGAAGATAAAGTACACAGGTGATACTTCTCAGGATAAGGGATTTGAAAGATGAATTAAAAATACAGTAAAAGGGGCAAAACAGAGAAAATAATTAACAGAATTGGGGAGAAGGAGTAAGGAAGGAAAAATGAATCCTGATTTGCAGGTGGAATTTTCTTTTGTAATTTTCTACCTTCCTTTTACACCGGTAAATGCCCACCCATTGCTTAGAAACCAAGGTGATAAGCATCTTAGAAATACTTAAGAGTGGTATTTAGTTTATTACTAAATCAAAGGAGGATATTGTACACTTTACAGATTTTCATAACTACTTAAGTATTACTGCTGGCTTTGATAGAGTAAGCAGATGAATTATAGAAACAGATGCCATCTGCACAGGGAGGAAATCAGCAGCAGCTAGTCTTTATGAAGAGAGATTCTTTTTACTTGGGTTACTAATTTCATTAGTTTTTGGGTGAATTGAAGAGATGGGGGGGGGGGGAGAAATAAAAAGGGAAAAGGAGCATCCTTGTCCATAAGGAGCTCAGTCCTGCCAAGCACAGAGAAGTGCTGAGTGCCCTCAACAATCATTGAAGCCAGCTCAGTACCTTGCCAGATCATTCCTAAATAAATTATTGGTTATTACTAGATTTTTTTTCCCCCCATTGACATAATTTCCTGTTACTCTTTTTTACCTGTCTATATTCCATCTTATCCACTTCCCCTTCTATTTCTCAAGCTAATGGTGTGTCAGCTCCTTACCATACCAGTCTCTCTGCCTCACCAGCAAACTCAAGACTCTGCCAGTCTTCACCTTGCCTTGCAAGGAAACATGTCCGTAACATCCAGCCCCATCACTTGTCACTCATAGAAATTACCAAGTTTGCTTCCTCTAAAGAGAGAGTGCACACACCAGCCTGTTAGTCTAGCCAAGGACCCACACTTGGGGGGCATTCTGCACCAAAAAAATTAAAAACTAAAAACGGTGCCAAAAAAATTAAAATTCTGTGCTCAATATTTTAAAATTCTGCAAAAGTTATTTGTCAAAATAACACTACATAATCATGCCAGTTTCTATTATTTTGGTAATTTATGTCAAAATACCTGTCAGCAAGTATGTCTGTAACAATACAGACACACACAAAGATTCCCCCAGGAATAGAGAGTTAAAGAAATCCCTATGATAACCCAGTTGCTGTTTCTCTACTCCCTTTCCCCTCCCAACCCCAGAGCCAAGCTGGGGGCCAGACACCCACAACCCCTCCCCCTGCGGAGCCTCCCCAACCAATAAACCCAAACCCCTTCTCCCCAGAGTCCAAATGTGTGGGACCCCCAGCCCAGATACCCACCACTCATTCCCCCCCAGAGCTCAGCCACGGGTCCCCCCGGCCAAGATACCCCCACCCCTTCCCCACCTAGAGCCCAGCTACACCCAGCCTCCCTCCCTCCCAGAGCCCAGGGATGCAGAGGGAGAAATAGCCTAATGCTCTGTCCCAGCCTTGCACGGAGTTTCCTGCGCACCATCGTCTCCTTCCCTCAGGGCATGCTGGGAACTGCAGCTGCCAGGAACCTTCTCTTCCCTCCCCCTCCCCCCAGCAGTGTCTTCTATGTGCAAGTTGGGCTCTGCCAAGTCCACTGGCCCCTAATGGTAGCCAGTAGTACTGCAGCCCATTTCTGTGGGGGAAAGGAAATTCTGCGTGCACAATGTTAATTTCTGCAAAATTCTGCATTGTGCAGTGGCACAGAATTCCCACAGGAGTATCACATCAAGCTTCTGCCATTTCCAGCCCCACAGGCAGGTGGATCCACCGTTGACAGACTCAGAGGGTGCTGATCCCTTTGTCCCCTAAGTGATGGATAAAAAAGGAGTTCCCTTTCTTTCTTTTTACAGTCTGGAAAACCTTTGAAATGTATTCTTTAAAAAGTAAACCCAGACACAGTCCCTCTCCCCTGCTGCGAATTCTTTGGGGTGCAAGCTCCACCCCTCTTCTTCGTCATCTGGTCAGCTTGCTTTCTTGATTGTCTTGATCACTTTGTTTATCTTAGATGCAAATGTACTTTCATTACCCTTTACTTGTAATCAAGCCATGCTGTTTTCTCATCCGCCTGTTAGCTTGATACATGCAGACAGGTAAATCCACATTCCTTTGTCTAGGGCAGGCTTGTTTTATCACCGCTTCCAAAAGATATTTTCAGAACATATTTCTCACACACACACACACACACCTCTTTATACACAACCCATACATACAATCACACAATGATATTCATGACCATAGAAGATTAGGGTTGGAAGAGACCTCAGGAGGTCACTAGCATGTCACCAGTTTTCGTATGATAGCTTACAAAACACTGATTGGCTAGTTATTCTGACAACAGTGTAGTTGGGTGTGCCCTTTGCTAATTGGCATAAATGGGCTCCTATGGTCACAGTGTCCTATGTCTGGCAGTGGTCTGTACCATGTTCTATAGGAAGCCTTCTCAATTATGTACCTACATAGTTATACAGTGCTATACATGTATAGTTGGGAAGTTCTTCTTGACCTTTTCAAGACATCAGCTTGCACTTTGACATACAGTATGTGATTTGAACAGTTAGGTCACTCTAACTTGCATAGTGCAAATGTTTTTACTAGGCATAAAAATAATCAACTCCTTTGAAGCTTATAGCTACAATACACTCTATCGCAGTAGATTCCTTTATTTACCAATCTAGCATACCCTACAGAGTTATGTTCTTTCTCCCACTCATTTTCTGCCCCAACAAGGCACATATGGAGATAGAAAGGAAAAAAGAGGGCAATGATCAGCATCCATGTCTATACAGTTCTTGATGCCACTGCTGAGAATGCCAACATGGGTGTCAATTGTGATAGTGAGTTTTGTAATGGGAACATCTGTTCACTGAAAACTGGACAAACTACCAAACCTGGACTAGATTTGAACCAGTGACTTAAAAGTCTAAAGCTCCATATTCCAATATCAGAACTTCAGCCTTCTGGTTACACCTACCTTCTTTCTTTTCATATTTAGCCTCTTTAGAACCATTATCTCTATTTGAAAACTAAAAAGTTTGATTTATTAGCTTGGATACTTAGGGAAAATTAAGGCTCGGCCAACAGAGGGTTCATTATGAAGGCAAGGACCCAGCACACACATTCAGAGGCAGATTTATAATTTGGATGCAGGTTTCGGGGAGAACAAGTCAGGGACCAGCTATACCAACCATGGGAAGCACCAGCCTCAGAGGAGACAAGATTGAGAGTAGGGCTGTAGCATCATTTCACCTCCCCTTCACTTCATATCAGTAGGCCTGCTCTGCTATACCTGCAGAACAGGTGTTCCAAATCCTGCTGACCAATACACTGGCTACACCTACACAAGGATAAAAGACCTGCGGTA